TGGAAACAGAAATTATCAATTCCTAGAAACTTTTAATTCTCAAAAGTTTCAACTTATATAATAAGTTGATGTGTGTACAAAGTTTTATAAACATGTCTTAAACGGTTTTAGATATATGCTCCAAAATAAAAACTATATAAACCAATAACTAAGTCAAATTTGTTTCCATGGAAACACCTGACTGATTAAATTTCTAATTAGTGAAAGACACAACTACTATGATGGGTTTATACACAGGTTCATAAAGATATTTTAAATCGTTTATGAAAAGATATGGGGTTTATCGTCCTACTGTTCTGCTCCAACTGGGCTAATGGAGACAGGAAATTTACCCGGATAGTGACACTTCGGCCAATTCTTATGTCAAATTCTAACTGCCAAGGGATCTTTTACGTGCACTCCAATATGTACATGGGACCACATTTTTTCTTCCCATTGGAACGACGTAGTCCCTTGCCAGACCTTCACCACTGACAAAGGGCAAGCACACCGAAAAATCCTGATCATGAGGTTTCCATTCTTCACTTGTATGTAGGTTTTCCATTTTCACGCATCATATTGATTCGTAATTACAATTAAAAACTAATCAGGCATGGATTGTTAATTGTATGTATTGGATATCTCGCTATCTCTGTTTATTAAAACTACCATTCTCTGATGGTTCCCAGGTGTCATATTGTTTGTCATAGCGTATAATATATGCAAGATGTCCCATGATATGCTGTTTATAATTGACATATTAAATACAAGTTAAAGAGACCATGCATTACATAAATACATTTCTACCAGTAGGGAGCGATGAGGAAATAAAATCACGTCTAACTTTTCTGTATCAACAAGGCTAATGGAAATGGATTTTTCATTTCATTCGAGCAACTAGACACATTTCATTCCATATTAATTATGGAATTTTCTGTATCAACAAGGCTAATGGAAATAGATTTTTCATCTCATTCGAGCAACTAGACACATTTCATTCCATATTAATTATGCCTGAAGTGTAATCTACCTAATCTCAGGGATTTTTACCTGTTTAGTACCTGTAGCTACCTGTTTAGCTACTGTGCTTGCTCTCTCTCTCTCTCTCTCTCTCTCCCCCTAAATCAGTTTACAGCCTACCACTGAGAAGTTCAATTAGGTTACAGCCAACCCCTCACAAGTAGCACCCAGATGTCCGGTTCTGCCACTGACAAGTTGAATCAGGTTACAGCCTACCACTAACATAATCAATTGGGTTACATCCTACCACTGACAAGTTTAGTCAGGTTACTGTAGACCACTGATGAGTTCGATAAGGTTACAGACTACCACTGACAAGTTGAATCAGGTTACAGCCTACCACTGATGAGTTTAATTGGGTTGCAGCCCTCCACTGACACATTCAATTGGGTTACGGCCTATCACTGACAAGTTCAATCAGGTTACGACCTACCACTGACCGGTTCAATCAGGTTACGGCCTACCACTGACAAATTCAATCAGGTTACAGACTACCGCTGACGAGTTCAAACAGGTTACAGCCTACCACTGACAAGTTCAATTGGGAGTTCAATCATTTCCACATATTATATAAAAAATAAATGTTTCACAAATTAAAGATATGTTATGTAAGATTTAGATAAAGAGCTAGCCATTCTTGCTATAATAGCTTAAATCAAAATATGGCTGAACTGTTCTAATCTATTTAATATCGGAGAAATCTGTTGCCATCGAGAGTTGATTATGGCCTGGATAAGTTAATTAATGCCTAATTAATAATTTAGAAAACATTTCAGGCCTAAAGAAATAGGCAGATTTAGCTCTTGCATAATATATGTTTAAATTATTTATTTATTAAAGAACATTAAACCTACGTTCATTTGATTTAAATTCCTCCTGTCCAACCGCGTGGGTTTTCTCCGGGTCCTCCAGTTTCCTACCACTGCTACAGACCCCTACGTGCAAGCAAATTATTGAAATAAAATTAAACCATATGTTAGTCCCGAAATGACCTAATTTGTGTCGAGTGGACGATAAACCCCATTTCTCTCTCTCTCTCTTTAAATTTCTCCTTTTTTTCTATTTTGTAATATAATAATTCCTACATATACATGTATGATGTAACAGCTTGTACAATATTAAACCATGTTATTACTACTTTTCTCTTAAATATATTAAAATATTGATTTGTTTCTGACATGACTGACTTATAACAATTGTCTACTTTTACTTAAGATATTTATGAATAGGTCTTTATCTACGTTCTACTACTATATATCACTGCACACATGCTGTGATTGGTGTGGTTTTAATATTTGTCCACGTTTCGATGTATTAGCTTAATATTGCTCGTACACCTGTGCTAGATATATATTACGAGACGTAAAAAAAAAAAAATCAGTCAGATTTATTGATGTTCTTTTTCTTTCTAATAATGGAGTGAATTCTGTATATTTTCTTAGTTTATAGCTTTTTGAGTTAATTAAGAGAGTGAGGGAGAAAGAGTGCCAGAGAGAGAATTAGGTTTAACATCTACTCAACACAAACTAGGTCATTTATTTCAATAATTTGCATGGGAGGAAACCAGAGGACCTGAAGAAAACCCACAAGGACAGGAGACCCTACTCCTTGTCATGTACATGTGTGGACTCGAAACCATGCCACTTGACTCAATGACAGACGGTATGATCTAACTCATTAGACCATTAGGCCACCTAACCCCAATTGACTATAGGACCAGATAATTTTTCTATGGTTGAATATACTAATGCAGTTGCTGGGAAAGCATCTGATAAATGTATTAAAGTTTTAAAGTCTTATTTTATTTACCCTGGCTTAATCAACACTAAAATGTACTCAGATTATTTTCACATTTGATTAAGAAAATTAATGGTAAATAATAAATAATCTTCTGGCTTTGATTCAAAAGAGGAACTTCAAAAGATTGTAGGTGCTGCCGGGGCCTGTGTTGACTATTTTCTAGTAATTGTGTAGGAGAACAGCACTACACACAAGCACAATAAAACCAATAAAAAACATGTAGGTGCTGCTGGGACCTGTGTTGACTATCTTTGTCCCCCGCCTTTCGAAGAAAGCAGGGGACTATTAAAATCTGTCTGTCTCTCTGTCCGTCCATCTGTCTGTCCGTCACAGTTTTTGGGAGACAATAACTCTGCATCTAATTGAACTAGAATATTCAAACTTGGTGTAGGTGTTTATTAGGTCAATACCCTTCATGGAGTTTGAAGATGAGCATGTTCTGCTTAGGGTAAGCAGAGATAAGCAATTTGATTGGTTGATGCTTTGGGGCACGATAACTTTTGTTCTAGTTAATGAGAGTGATGAAAAACTTGGTGTATAGTTTCATTACATCAATACCTTGACTAAGTTCGATAATGAGCATTTTCCGCTCAGGGTTAGCAGAGCAAAAAGCAATTTGATTGGTCAAGACTTTGGAACACAATAACTCTCTTTCTAATTGAGGTAGAATGTTCAAACAAGGTGTAGTCCATTAGGTAAATGACTTCATGGAGTTCGAATATGAGCATTTTCTGTTTAGGGTAAGCAGGATAAGCAATTTGATTGGTTGATCCTTTGGGGCACGATAGCTATGGTTCTAATAAAGTGAGAGTGATAAAAATTAGAGTATAGTTTCATTACATTAATACCTTGACTATGTTTGATAATGATCATATTCTGCTTGATAAGCAATTTGATTGGTCGAGACTTTAGAATAAAACAACTCTGCTTTTAATTGAGATAGAATGTTTAAACTTGATGTAGATGTTCATTAGGTGAAAGTCTTGACTGAGTTCAGTGATTAACATTTCCCACTAAAGTTAAGCAGAGCTAAGCAATTTCATTGGTCGATGCTTTGGGACAAGATAACTTTGATTCTAACTGATGGAGAGTGGTGAAACTTAGTGTATAGTTTCACTACCAGGTACTTCAAAACCTTGACTGAGTTTGATTGTAAACATTTTATGCTCAATACTTTTGAAAAAGATAAATGTGCAATTAATCTATATGTGTCATCTATTTATTTTGGAATTTCGTTGGGGGACATCAGCCTGATTGTTGGCTTGTCTATATAGTAATAGTGCAGGAGAACAACACTACACACAAGCACAATAAAACAAATGCAGATATCTTTGTAAATACAGCACAGAACTGACTCATTTTTGTACTGATGTCATGTGGTCTGTGTACTTTTTACAAATCTTAGATTCAGGGCAAAGTTGTGGGCTACTATTTTCTGTCTTCAAAGACCCCCCCCCCCCCAAAAAAAAAACAAAAACAACATCAAGTGATAAATCAGTGGGGAGATTAAAAACTTAATCCATATATTATAGGGGGACCACACCACACAGGACACACAATAAGAGACACTTCAAGTGACAAACGCGCATATCAGATCAAGTGAATGGATCTGGGGAGCTGGCTGTAAGCGTCCACTGAAACATTGAAAAAACAAATGGCTCCTTTACCAAATGTTTTTTGTTTACATTTTTATCATGCCCAGATATTTAAACAATTTCATGTGTTAGGTTTATGTATATAGTGATGATAAACTATGTTGAAAGTAAGGCATCTTTTCCACACAGAGAGATAATTTTCATAAAATGTGACAATGTGTTTATAAGAGAGAGAGAGAGAGAGAGAGAGAGAGAGATGGGGTTAAACCTCCACTTGACACAAACTAGGTCATGTTAGGACTAACATATGGTTCCATTCTACTTCAATAATTCACTTGCACGTAGCTGTAGGGGTCTTTAGCAGTGGGAGGAAAGTGGAAGACCCGAAAAAAAAAAACCCACATTGTTGGACAGACGACCCTACTCCTTGTCAATGACAGACCTTATAAATGATCTAACACACACATATGTTAGTCACGTTTAATACAAACAAAAAATTAGAAATGTTTTGTTTTTGTTATGGCACATTTACGCAAATTTTAAAACCTCAAGAAATATATAACCATTACCTATAGTGTGAAATTATATAACAAAAACAAAACTTACCTATAAGTGAATAACTGCTTCATCAAATTTTATATCTCAAAAAATCAACTCAAGTAGTAAGTTGATAATTCCACATTTAAATTACCGAAAATAAAATCATAACATGAGTTTGTGACACTTAAATTAATAAAAATGTCCACTTTAGTAAATTTTTGTCAAGTTCGGCACACTTCTAGAAAATCACAAGTTTTTTGTCAACTTTCGCTAAGATGAGCAAAAATCGACATTGAGGTTAAATAAATATCATCATTAAAGACTTTGTGAACTTTCTCGATACAGAGATTAATAAAATATCACCACTAAAAAATTTTGTCAACTTTCCCGACACAGAAATGAATAAAAATCACCACTTTTTGTCAACTTTCTTAAGTCATACTTCATTCAATTACAGAATACTGAATTTATAAATATCACCACTTTCTTGTGTCACACTTCAAAATCAGTTCTCTGTGTTGTTTTTTTATAATTTTCTTGACACTGAAATTAATAAAAATCACAACTTCAGTAATAGTGAGAAATATCACTCTGTCGTTTTTAATTTTTTGTTTTCCGTATTTGAATCACAAACAAATATACATCCAAGATAAAGAGTTATAGTATTACCTCCAACGTGGACTACTCAAGACTAACTGACTGTTCCTACTGTAGTTCCTATACTAGTAGTAGTAGTAGCATAGAGAGACAACGTGTATAATTCCTATACTAGCAGTAGTGTGGAGTATAGTATCCGATGTGTATTGATTCATCATAGCATATTTTATACTCCTGTAGAAATCTGCCAGTATGATAAACAATTATAGACTAAAAACCACATGCTTCTAAAATCAATTAGATACATACTTCCAGCCATTGTTTATTACCTATCCTTAGCATTCTGGACGTTGTTTCTTCACAAAACACAAAAATCTTTACTTCCATACAATGGGTATATAAAACAATTCAAGAATATTGAAATGAGATAAAATTGATAAATTGTTTTTCGATATTTTATTGATCTTGTCGTGTATGAATAATTAACACGGCCGTATGAAATATTGTTTTATATGTAATTAAAGGAGAGTTCAATAATTTTTTTAAATTAACAGTATGTTGCTAGTTTAATTAAAGATGTCAAAATGTTGTTAATTGGTGTGAAGTGGGATCAATATAATATCCTGGCTAGTAAAGAAAAGTGGAACTTAAAATACAAAAGACATTGCAATAATATAAAACAATATTATAAACATAAGCATAATAGAAATAGTTAATTGAATGAATGAATGAATAAATAATGAATGAATGAATTATTGAAAGACTTAAATATAAACAATTCACATATTTATCATCATAAACCCCATTTCTTACTAGGTCTGGAGAAAGAGAGAAATTGATCATTTTGGGACAAACATATGGTTCAATTTTAATTCCATAATTTGCTTGCTTGTAAGGGTCTTTAGCAGTGGAAGAAAACCCATGAAGTTAGACTGGCAACCCTATGCCTTGTGATGTACAAGCAGGGGAATCAAAATCACACCACTCGACTCAATGACATACGTATCTTATGATACTTTAGACCAGTGTTGATATTTCAAAAAAAATTTTTGTCAGACATTTTTACAAAAATAAAAGGGCATAACTCTTATCGTTATTTAAGCAGGCAGATTCAGACCACAATTGAAAAATCATGTGTCAACAAAGTATTCAAATTGGTATGTAATAAAAATGGGCGCACCTTATTTTTTTGCATAATTGATTCCCATACGGTATTCAAATATATGTGTTGTCATAATACGATACAATGAAAGCATACCGACTACTGGCAACCCGTACATGTTTCAAATTCACGCCAGTAATATTCCTCCAAATGGTTAGACCATTCAGCCGACTGGGTTTCATAGTGGAGGAAAGAAACAAATGACAGATTGGAGAGAGAGAGAGAAATGGGGTTTAATGTCCACTCAACACAAACTATGTCATTTCTGGACTCTAACATATGGTTTAATTTTATTTCAATAATTTGCTTGCGCGTAGGGGTCTTTAGCAGTGGGAGGAAACCAGAGGACCCGGAAAAACCCCACAAGGTTGGACAGGCGACCCTACTCCTTGTCACGTACAACTGGGGATTCGAAACCATGCCAGTTAACTCAATGACAGGCCTTATGATACGGCGCGCACGTGCTAACATGACAGATTGGAATAACTGCAATAACTGGAATAATTATTTAAGAATCTGTTATCAGTACTAATCAGTGTTTGACACAAACGTCGGTCCGTAGGCCCGAGGCTGACTGATTTATCAGAGGACTCCTGCTTGCCTATTTCACTCGGGTCCGCCGGGCCTTCGCCTTGTTATCTCGCATAGTTGGTGTCAACATGCGACAATTCGAGTCTCCGATAGTTATACAAGAGTGTTTTTTGCCGAACATTGACTCACGTTTTTTTATTTTTTCTTTCGCAGGTTACTAAACCTGTAGTCCTTCTGTGATGTACTGGCATGTCAATCAATGATGACAATTTAATACTTATGAATACGCAGCCGCTTTACATGTATACTAATTATTATTATTACGTTTTTTATACAGCCACATTTTCATGTGGATGTATATTGTCGTCGCCTCTGTCTGTCCATCCCTTCGTCCACAACTGTTTGTGGACAGTCTACAGGTCACAATTTTTATTCGATTTTTTAATTATTTTTAAACACCAGTACTATAACCTATTTTCCAAGTTGGCACTACCGGTACTTAGGATTATAGTGATTGTTTGAGTGATCTAGCGCTTATACAATATTACATTCCACATATCTGGTAATACTAAACCAAATCAAAGAGAGAGAGAGAGATGGGGTTTAACGTTCACTCGATACAAACTAGGTCATTTCGGGACTAACACATGGTTCAATTTCATTTCAATAATTCGCTTGCGCATAGGGGCCTTTAGCAGTGGGAGGAAACCGAAGGTCCCAGAGAAAACCCACGAGGTTGGACAGGCGACCATACTCCTTGTCACGTACAACCCGGGAATCGAAACCACGCCAGTTGACTCAATGACAGACCGTATGATACAGCGCACATGTGCTAACCATTCGGCCATCCAACCCCCCTCTAAACCAAATCGGGGATCACGTGGCTAAGTGGGTAAGACGCTAGCTCGCTAGCCTGGAGGTCGGGTGTTCGATCCCTGCATTGGCCGAGAAAGTTCATCCAGATTTTCCGGCGTGGTTCTCCCTTGTCAGTGATGCATGACGGAGGGGCTGACAAGGAAAGCTGTCTAGTCGTTCGGACGAAAAACCAAGGTCCCGTGTACACATTGGCGTGCACGTAAAAGATCCCTTGGCAGTTGGAATTCGATATAAGAGTAGGCCGTAGTGCCGCTGTCCGGGCAAAATTTCCCTCATAGCACACTGTATGGCGTATGCCCGTCTTCATTAGCCCAGGTTAGGAGCAGAACAGTAGGACGTTAAACTCCATTTCATTTCATTTCTAAACCAAATCAAAGTAGACGACCTGAGTTTGTGAGAGCAAAATACAACTCCACCACCTGTAGCTATGATGTTGTCTTGGGTGAGATCATGAATGAGGCCATAATAAAAAAAAAATAAACAATAGAAATATGTCCTTTTCTTTTTGAATGAATAGAAATGCCCTGCAGATACTATCTTTAATTGTACACTTTGCATATGAATAAAATACCACCTTGGTTGGGCCTGCGTGTCACACAGGTCCTGCAGTCAGTCCTGTGCTTGAAAAGTGTATGTTTCAGACACTGGCACTAATAGCTAATGACTGCAATTCTCAGGAGTGATACAACCCACAACCAGAAAAACAGAAAACTGATTTTAAGATGACAGGTTATAACTGGAATAATTATTTAACAATCTGTTAGCAGTATTGATGACTACAGTTCTCGGGAATGATACAACCCTCACTAGAAAAACGGAAAACTGATTTAAAGATGACAGATTATAACTGGAATAATTATTTAAGACTCCTAGAACATCTATCAGTGCTAATAACTAATGACTGCATTTCTCAGGAGTTATACAACCCACAATCAGAAGAACGGAAACCTGATTTTAAAATGACAGATTATAACTGGAATAATTATTTAAGAATCTTAAAACACATTTGTTATCAGTACTAATTCTCAGCAGTGATACAACCTACAACCAAAAAAATAGAAAACTGATTTGAAGATGATTGATAATTCACTTTTATTGCTAATCCATCACTTTTAATATGTATGAGAATTTTATAAGAACTTTCGTGAATTATTTCTGGTTTTCGTCTTCTGACGCTGCAGAAAAAAAAAAAAATTTCGATCATAGATTAAAGATGGTCGTGAGTGATATAAAAGCTGTGCGTGCTTCTCTGTTTTAACCAAGTTCATTCAGGACTAAATATTAAAGGGGGTATGGCTCTATTTTTCGGAACCTTAAATTAGATGAAAATGGGTATAAAAGCACATATTATAATGTGATATAAAAGTGATTTATGAAAGCTATATAAAATGATTTATATTCAATTCTTATATATGCATTGGATAACAACATCAATATTAATTGAAATGGACCAATATTACATTTTAATTAGTGTTTTTAATTTTGAATGGAAAATATTGAGTTAGAGGTTTAGCTCCTTTATAGCAGCAACATCATTATTAATTTATAAAAACAACCACTTCCAATCTTTGTTAAAGTAGCAATATTTGTTATTAATTTATGAAAACCAAACACTTCGAGACTCTGTTGATGTAGCAGTATTTATAATTATTTTATAAATGTGGTTTAACATACTTTTTTGCCTGCACTGGCTGGGCTATTGAAGACAGTACTACTGGTAGAAATGAAATGAAATTATGGTTTAACGCCATACAGTGTTTTATGAGGGAAATTGTGCCCGGACATAGGTGCTTTGGCCTATTTTTCATTCGAATTCCGATTGTCAAGGGTTATTTCACGGGCAGGCCCATGTGTACGCAAGACCTCAGTTTTTCGTCCCATCTGAACGACTATACATTGTCCCTTGCCAGGCCCTCCATACTAACATGGTACTATTGTTGAACGAAGATGTTTAACTCATCAATTTCTAAATTAGTATGATAAAAATGATTTTTAAATTGTTCATTTTGTTGGTATATTCATATTATGTAATTTTGTATATTATGTAAAATGTCATTTATAAAAATAAACGGCCTTCTCAATTCAAATTTTGTGTCTTTATCAAAATCAATGCAAAAAGAGGGAAAATGAAAAACTCATATGGCAACAAATTATTCTGGTTTACATAGACTCATTGCCCCATAAAAGTTCAATAGATGATATTTTCATATTGATGAATATCAGTTCGTATTTAAGTACTTATTTTTCCTCGGTAGATTGAACAAATGCATATTTATCAGATTGTTTAATTACAAGAAGTCGAGTGATCGCTGTGTACATTTACAACATAACTTTGATGAAGTAGATATTAGTTCTGATTGTTTCATGACTTGTAGATGGATGCCGGATCATTGTGGGGGTTCCCTTTAATAGTTTTATTTAGAGATGGCATGTCGTCATGCCAAGTGGCTCACATTGAATCAATAACTGAATGTGGCAATCAAACGGTGTGCATGTTTATATCTAGACAATCGCATGATCATTC